GCAGGAAATTTTCCTGCGAAATTTCTTGCGAAAAAAATTTGCAGGAAAGTTTCCTGCAAAAAAAAAAATTTGCAAGAAAATTTCCTGCGAATTTTTTTACAAGAAATTTTGCAGGAATATTTTAAATTATATTATATGTGTTGGGGTAGTAAGGGTGTCACAAAGTCTTCCAAAGAACTAAGCTTGTTGAGCCGCCTAAGAAAAGTCGGCCTCGTGCTGCGAGAGAGCTTTACTTCGATCCCTTTCTCTATAGGACCCGAAGGCCTTCTTCTTGACCTCTAGCTCCCTACCCAGTTAGGTCGCTTTCTCGGTCTCTGCCTTCAAGGAGTTTTCCAGCCGTTGAACATTCAACCTCGGTGCTTCTCCGTTTCATACTTTGCGTTGCTAGTTTGGGCATCGGTCAAGGCAGCCAAAGTTTCCTGCATCGACTTCTTAGAGTCGGACAACTATCGATGCAGTTCATCGACCTCCAGATTTGGCTCCATCACAATACTTTGGGCCAAGGCCGAAGCTCGGACTTAAAGCTCGTAGAAGAAGTTCCATTTATGAGCGGAACTCATCCAACCCACACACGCCTGACCCGCCTCGGACGTCAAATCTTGACTCAGGAAATCATGAGCATTGATGTTAAACACCAAGAAACTCAGCCCTACCAAGCCTTGGGGAACTACCAGGGTGGACAACCTCTACTGCTTTGCCCATCGGTTTTCATCCTCGGCCCCAACTTCCTCAGCCTCCTTTATCCAGCCTTGGGTCGAGGCGTGTCCTTGGAGCCTTTCCCCTTTCCCTTGGCAGTCGGCCCAACCGCGCCACCATGGGTAGAGGGAACCTGGTTCCCGCTGGACCGGCCTTCAACTACCACCTTTGCCGTCACTGAACCGGTAACTCGGCCCTTGATCAAGTTATGAATGTCAAGGTCGTCACTCTTGCAGCTCGTCATGATACATGCACACCATTAGTCAAAATCAATGACAACATATGAATTTAAACAAGTAGGAAAGATGCAATACCGATTAAATCGCTAGTCATTTGCGATGATTTAATCAGCCGAACCAAATCTCGACACGGTAGAGGCCGAGGCAGTTTTTCAAGGAAGTTCAGGTCGGTTCGTTCCTCTAGGGACATCCGTGACCTCGACACTACTTCGTACTTCACCGACGCCCAGGTCAAATACAACGGGAACAATGACTTCCCCTCAGCATCGAAGAAGTACTTGTTCCCGGTGCTTGGCCAAATCATCACTTTGAAAAATCCTACTTTAAACTTCTTGTAGGACGTTGTAAATGGCTGTAGCAAGCAATTGGCATGCCGAAACAAGGAAATCCATTTCTTCTTCTTGGTTGGCCGAGACGAGTAATAATACAAGAAAAGGAGTGGAGTAGGCTTGACTTTGAGTGACAAACACAGTTGTTGAAACCCTTGCATGGCGGCCCAACGTACTGTTAGGATGAAGCTGGGTCGACACCATATTTAGACGCCGAAGTACACCCATGAAGAACTCATCAAAAGGGAGAGTCACTCCCAAATCCCGGAACAAATAGTCATACACATAGAAGTATTGATATTTGCAATTCCCTCGGTCCAAGAAGATGAAATCGGGATTCGACCCCCATCATTCCGAAAAGGTTGAAAAAAGATAGTCGATGGTTCCTCCCCACTCTCGACGCGCTCAAACCCTGAGACGATCTCAACATTACCCGAATCATTCGATGCTGAGGCTGAAGAACCAAGTCGATCAGAGGATGAGCGCGGTACAACACCGGTAGAACCACTCCTCGTGTCCCTAGAGGAATCAACCTGTACAACCCCAATGTGAGCCATAGAAACGTACCTCAACTAAAACTAGATCGGTCTCGGTTGGTAAGAGTCGCTTGAAAACGCTCAAGCTTGATCTAGATATCAGCCTGGAGCATTTGAACCATGTATGCGTGTATTGGTCCCCACCACACTCCTATTTATAACATTTCTGAGACGAGAATACCAAACGACGCACCCTTTGAATCGTTGGATCAGATTGATCCAACGGTCAAAAATCGACACCCCTTCAAATTCCTTCTCTTAAACGCTCAACCGTTACAACCAAAGGGACATGTCGACACCCTCTCATGCTCTGACACCCAATCACCGTAGATGAAGCGCCACGTTTACCCTTTATGTCGCTTCGCTCCTTAAGGCTGGGGGGCTTGTGTACCGAAAAGATCCTATCGGTCACGCGGTACGACACGTGACACCTTATCAGCCACTGATGCAGTCGAGACAAAGGCGGCACGCGCGCTAGTCTTGGCCATATCGGATGTCGAGACAACCAGAGCATAATAACTTCTATAGTTAGTTCGGTACAGCCCTCGAACACGGCAAAGGTTTGGCCAGGGTGACGAAACCTATCGGCCCTATTAATGACATCTCAGCTCGACGAGGAGCCAAGACCTTTGAGCATGACCGCGGACATGCACTCCTCGGCTCAGCCAATGGCAGAGACGATTGAGCGCAGCGATTAAGACGACAATCTTGGTTAACAAGGATAAATACGTGATTAAGGCGTAATTAGTCGATTAGCACCGTATTACCTAATTTGGTAAGTATCAGGTGAGGCCCACCATGCTCAGGGCCTATCATAACTAGTATAAATAGGTTACGTAAAACGAGGTATGTTACTATCACTACAAAAAAAATAACCTGTGCCTACAGACACTTTTACCTATAGACTTGAATTAGTGTAGGTAAAACTAAAAAAACAATTACCTACAAATGTTTAATGTAGCTATAACTCAAAAATCTATACCCACTTTTATTTGGTGTAGGAAAAACTCAATACAACTTAAAGTTCTTCTACTAACAAATTGTCAATGTAGGTAAAAGCCTTCAAAGACTTATGCCTACTACTATTTTAGGTAGGTAAAAAATTTGCAAAATTTATACCTACGGTTATTTAATATAAATAAAAATCCATATAAAACAAATAAATAATTATATATAAGACTAATTAATTTCATAAAAAATCAATATCAATACAAAATATATAATTAAAAATTAGAATTAAATAACCAATCTTTAAAAAATAAATAATTAATAAATTAAATAAAAATGTATCAAATCATTCCTCCGCATCTATTCCTCCACACCCAAAATAAATAATTTCATTGAAAAGTTTATATATATACGGCAGTGAGCCCAAAACGCACCCATTCCTCCGCACCCATTCCTCGCTCGTGTCCGTTCTGAGTCTCAAATCATGTCTCCGTTCTAAGTCTCAAATGATGTCTCCGTTCTAAGTCTCGACAACCTTCAAATGCTTCTTCAATATTGTTTATTCATAGGTTTCTTCATCATGAATTTGCATATCTCCTACAACTTATTTGTTTCTTCTAATCTAGGTTTTTGGTTCATATAATCCCAAGTCCTCTACTTCATTGCGCTTTACTTTTGAATTTTATCTCGTACTCTTTTTCTTCTTGATTCTAATGTAGGATTTGTTTATTGGTACTGAGTTTGCTAACAGATGTCGAAGAAGCACTCACAGATCTCGTATTCGAACGTTCACCAGTTTGTCAATAGGTATTTTATATCTTCTCACTCTTGGATTCTTCCTCTGTAGATTACAATTGGAATTTCCTCATGTAACTTTACCATTAGTGCCAACCTCACAGTTGAATTCCTCTTCCATCATAAATTCAAGCAAATTTAGTTAACACTCATTTTATTAAATATTGTTCCTATGGGTTCACTATATACTTTTGAGTATAGGGAAGCTGCCTGCAATCACGAAAAAATTGTATGAATTTAAGTAATCTTAGCATATACAGAATTTGTTGAAATATGTTTGTATAGGAAACATAAAATATAGTTACGGGCAGAAATACTCACACTCAATGTACAAAATTTGTCCTAAGTACCATGAAGACTTTTTTTTACACAAGTAATTATCACCATTAATCAGTTGTAGTTTCCAGAATGAAATATATATTTTGAACACCTATCATTTGTTGAAAGATTGGTATGCAATTCCAATCTCCTAGGCCTTTTCCAAGTATGTAATGAAGTAATATAAAATTTAGAAGATTTGAGATATTTTATTTGTTTCTAGTGGATACGGTAGGAGTATGGTAGTTGAGTGCATGTTTGGGTGGCCCTGGCTGTTTTCAAAATGTAGACTTAAAATGTAATCCAAAATCGTAAAACATAATATTTTTCAGTACTTTTCACTTATAATAAACAGGTGAACAAGTTTTGGTCCATTTTGACATGGCACCAGAAGCTATTATTTTTTGGATTCAAATGACATTATATAATATGGATTCCTATGTATCTCCAAACAAAAGTGAGCAAAGTTTATAAATTATTATACAACAATAACAAAATGAAGCATATAAGCTAACTTAATTTTGTTCAATCTTCTATGACCAGTAACAGATTAAAGTGACAAAAAGAGGAAAAACCATAGGATATATAGATGAGCATTGGTATCAGCCTCAACCATTATGGTTGTTGAAGAATCTCTCACCAATTCTTCACTCTTCTTTGTTGCATCCAAAGCTGTCTCTACTGTTTCCTTAGCCTTCTCTCCCACATTCTCCACCACCTCTCTTGCTTTCACTGCCCCTTCTTTTTCTACTCTTACAATATTTGAATCACCACCCTGCATGCACATATATACTACTTGAGTAATAAGTTGTGATGATCATGAGCCAGCTTATGTGCAATTAATTATATAATCATATATAAGGGAAGGTTAATTTCTACTTGAGTAAGCACATGAGCATGAGCATTTGTGATGCACAACATGTTGCTATATAGGATATTATTGTGGAAACATCGAAAACTAAAATTATGAATTTGATATTATTGAAAATGGAATTTAACCTTTTGAAGCAAAAATGTACTTAAGAATAAATAGAACTTGTAAGTGTTGGCCTTCCTTAAAACTGAAGGAAATAACGAAGTCATTTATAAGATGGCCAAGTAAAAAGTTAAGTTTGCAATACAAGAAGTTGATTAAGTTGCTGAACTATCAGTGATGTCATATCTTGTGTTTTCAACTTTTATATACGATAGTTTTTAACTAACTCTAGGTAGCAAGTACTGTACGTGTTCCTTCTAATTTTCTTTTAAATGCTCATGATCTGTACATACAAGGTATAAATCTATATAATCAAGCTGCAATTCTCTCAAAGTTCTATCAAGATCTTTTGGTACATCTTCCGGAGCATGATCTGTACACCTGCACATCATCTTAGTTTCAGGTACAGAGAATTCTTTGAGTTCTAGAGATTGAAAACTAACAAATTAACACATGATTCTATTTGCATGAATTTAGCTTTAAAAGGGAGAGATAATCAATTTGGAATTGAAATAAAACCAGAGTTTAGAGGTAATCCATAAATCTTCTCGCTTGACTACACCCTCCTCAAATAACTTTTTTAATGTTGAGCCAATCTACAACAATTTCAAGGCATTATATGAAAATCACATGAGTAGTGAAACTAAAAATGTTATATAATATTGTAAATAAGATAATATTCTTCTTTGTTGCCACTCCACTATGATGGTTATACTCTATATAACTTTTATTATATATCCCAATAAATTAGGACAAAAATTTTTATAATTTTTTGTTGTTGTTTTCTTATGTAGGATGAGTTGAAGAAGCATATAATTGAGGCAGAAAGTTCACAAACCACTCAAGATACTACCAATTGGAAAAATGATATATACTCAAAAGTTAAAGGACCTGAAAAAAGAGGACGAGTGTGTTGTCTTGGAAAGCTTCCACGACATGCAAGTTCATACCAAAGCTCTACCATAGACAATAGAATTCAAAAATTAGAAAATTTGCTTGGAAATCTTGTTCCTGTCCTTCAATCACGATTTGTAGATGATCCACATATTAATCAAGTTTTACGAGCTGTATCTGAAGAGGTACAAATTTTTATAATGCAATTTATTTAATAACTCAAATGATATAGCTTTTATAAATTAAAAAAATCTTTTTTTCTCATTTAGGTACCTACAAATGTTTCAAATGATTCTATTAGTGAAAATCATCAAACTACAAGAGACCCCAAATGAGAAAAGTTGATATAGGTGAGTTAATTGAAATTCAAATAATTAAATTTTTGATACTTCATATTGACAACAATCTTTTTTTTCTTTTATGTTATTATAATGTTATGTGTGATTGGATGAATAGAAGGCTTATATATATATATATATAAGTATTGAGATATATATATATATATATATATATATAAGCCTTCTACTATGTCTCTCATCTAAAAACGAGTGGTGCAGGTGGTATTACCAGCATTGCAGTGTTATTACCAGCATTGCAGTGTTTGTTTAGGACTAGTCAAAGGATTAGCACAAAATTAGCCCGCATGGGTGCCATGCAGCTGTTGAGTGTGTTGTGATGTTAGGATTGAACTGCAAGGTATTAGATTAAGTCGTATATTGGAAGTATGAAATCTAGTGTGGGGTTTATATAATCTTGGACTCCAAATACAACAATTAACTTTTGTGGTGTGATTTTCCTTAGGTTCTTATTACCTTCCCACTTGGACTATGCAAAATAATGTGTTTGTGTCTTTGTTTTTGCTATCAGATAATTATTTGCTTTCTTATGTGTTTTAGTAATTAAAATGCATAATTTAATGGCATAGTACATGATGATGATAATTATCTTAACGTTGTAAAATTGACATCTTTCACATTTTTTTAGGATTGGTGAAGGATTTACATGCAGTGGATCAACATAGATGGCAATACTTACAGGATGACATTTATCAATGCAATATGTTTTCCTTTTTTATTTATAATTAGCAACTTTAACATCATGAATTTGTCATTTTTATAACATAGTTTGGATACTTATATGTCTAGCTCTATGAACAATGATACTTGAAATATAATACAAACATGATATTTAGAATAACATGATAACAATTATTGGTTGTTGACACTGATATAGAATCTCCATATTAGACTAGTATGTGAATAAGTAAAAATTTTCATGTTATTTTAATATAGATCAAAAAACAACTTTTGTCAAGTCATCTACTTATCTTTTCTTTTTTTTTTTATGTTATGTATATATAGTTTTTATTATTTAATGAAATTTAGCAAGAACAAAATATTAAATTAAATATATCAGTTAATGAAATTTGACCTTTTTTATACTTTAATGTCATTTTTTGTATACAAGATAATAATAAAATTTGAACTACGCTTCATATAGAGTACACATATTCTCTATAAGAGATATTATATATACAAGGACGGAGCCAAGGGGGGACCTACGGGTGCCACGGCCCCCCCAACAATTTTAATTTTTTTTTATATACATATATATTACTATATGGCACCCCCTATTTTTAATATAAACTCATATGTATAATTAAATGAATAACCTAAATTTATTTTTTTATTCAACTTTTGGACTTCTGGTACGGCCTGCTATGTGGTATCACTTTGGAATTTTTTTTTATTTTAAAAAATGTAGCGCCTCATTTGATCATTCCAATTCTCGGCCCCCCAGTATTGAAATCCTGGCTCCGTCCATGTTAACATGTAAGTACAACTTAATGGTGTTTACCTATAGTAGGGAGTGTAAATATAAGTCAATGACTTTTACCCACGCATATTGCAAATTGTAGGTAGCTCTTATAGTGACAGTCAAATGTAGTTGTAGGTAAAATTATGTCTGTAGGTAAAACTTATAGTGATAGACTATTAGTTGTAGCTATATGCCCCCTCAAAGTTGACAACTTCAATGTCTGTAGGTCAAAGTCCATGATACCTTTACCTATGGGATTTAGATTTTTAGTGACATTTTTTGTGTGTAGGCATAAGTCATTTTTCTTGTAGTGTATTTATTTATTATCATCAAGGTTTGTATTTGTCCTGACTTGAGCGTCGGAGTGCCTTTTGCAGGTACCTCCCCCCTCTGAAGCATCCATCCAAAGCTCTCATTCGGCCCTCAGATTACTAGAAGATTACGAGTATACCCTTGGACAGGTACATTGATATTGAGATATTTTTTTTTTATATTGATTAACGTTTACTGTAACACCATTTATAATGAAAATCGTTGTTTTACTATAAAAAATAATTAATATAGTTAATTTTCAACAATTTTCTTACGGACATGAATATCCATTACAGTTTCCTATACATGAAATTTTATATACGCAAATTTTGTAAAATAAATTTTAGTGTATATTTTTTTAAAAAAATTTCATTATTAATAATTAATATAATTATTATTTTATTATGTCATTGAGATTTTAATTTTTTTTATAATTAATCCTCTGATTTTATTTTTTTAAGAAAATCTTGGAGGAAAATAATACTTCAGCAAGTGTTAGTTTGGATTGGAATAATACATCAGAACTTGTTTCGTTTTAATCCTTTAAATTTATTTCTATTTATTTTAAAATTGCCCATAATTAATAATTAATATAATGAAAGTTTTATTTTATTATGTTGTTACAGTTTCAATTTCTTATAATTAATTTTCTTGAGAAAAATAACGCTTTAGAAATTGTTTGAAAAGAAACAATACTTTAGAAGTTGCTCAATTTTTTTAATTATTATTTATATTTACATTAAAGCATTCCATAATTTATAAAATTAATGTTTTATCATACTTTTTTTTTAATACAGCATTCTTTATGCTGTTACAAATTCAATTTTTTTATAATTAAATATATTTTAGTCAATTTACATGAATTTACATATCACACAAGAATTTACATGAATTTCCCTTACAATTTTCTATAGGTGAAATATTTTTTATTGAAAATTTGGGAAAGAAGTTTTAAGGTAACTTTATTATTTATATTCATTTTAAACTGTTCATAATAAATAATTAATATAATTAATTAATATTTTATTATGGCATTGCAGTTTCAGTTTGTTATAATTAACGTTTGTTTTTGTTAGAAATTTCATGGAAAAATACTATTATGAACAGAGCTTATAGCATGCAGATAATATAGAAAAAGAAAACTTATTACACTGAATATTTTGGCGAAGTTAACTACAAGAATCTTTATTATTTTTTAATTAGAGCTCGATTTATCTAAAATAAATTAATATTAATTAAAAAATCAGTTACATATTATATTTCTATCATAGATCGATATATTGGTCTTTAATATAGTATAATTAGACACTAAAAAAGTATCTAAAATGAGTTAATAGAGACTAAAAAATCAATTATTATTTACTCGTGTATTTTAATTAGAGACCAAATATTTTTGTGTCAAATAATTTAATAGTGACTGAAATATTAGTTTCTTGTTATATTTTTATTAGAGACTAATATATTGGTTTCTAATATAGAACAATTAGATACTAAAAAAATGATATCTAAATTTGAGTCAATAGTGATCAAAAAAATAGTCTCTAGTAATATTTAAATTAGAAACTAAAAAATTTAGTCTCTAATTTTAGTGCATCTTTAAGACTAAAATATTGGTTTCTAAAGTGTTTTAATAGTGACCAAATTTTTGTCTCTAATTATATTTTAATTAGAGACCAAAAAAGTTGTATCTAATTAAATAAATAATATTTTTTATATTATTAGCTACTAAAAGTTTAGTCTCTAATTACATTAAAAATATTAATGACAATAGAGATTGAATTAGAGACTAACTATAATCAATCTCTAAAATAGTATTTAAATAAGTTGCTAAAGTGACTATATAAATTTGGTCTCTAAATAAGTCTCTATTTAATGGATTTCTTGTAGTGGTTGTTCACTTTGTTATTTATTTATTTATTTTTTTTTTGAGAAATCTAATGGAGAAATAATATTATGTGGAGGAATTATTGTATACAAATAATATAGAAAAAGAAAAATTATTGCATCCAAGTAACATAAATAAAAATTAATTAATATAAATAAGTTTATGATAAAGTTTTTTACTTTAATATAAGTAAGATAAAATAAGATAAGATAAATCATATTAAATACTACCTTTTATACTTATTATTGGAATCAAATAATTAAGTCACTACGATTAAAAAAATTAGAGAAAACATTAAGATAAAGGTTAAATTTGTTATTTAAAATAAATAAATATGCATTATATTTTTTTTCAAAAATTATCCATAAGTTAAAGAGAATCTTAATACATGTTTCTCATATTTTTTCATTCTAAGAAAAAAAAATGATATTATTTATATTTTAAGAAACATAAATTAAATGAATTTTCCTTATTTGTTGAACTCAAAAAATGTATTTAATATGGGTATATATTGGTAAAGAAAAATTAATTTTTGAGACATCTCCATTTTTTCTTTATTATAAGCAAAAAAAAAACACATTTTTTTCTTAATAAACAAATTTTAACTACTTTTGTTTCTTTAAATGATACTCTCTAAAATATTATTCATTTAATGCATAAAATTTTAGTTGCACTACATTTTTGCCATTTCTAACAAAGATGGTTTAGAAATAATATTATAACATTAGTTTAATTTAAAAAAAATATCTTAAACAAATATTTTAAAAGAAATTTTTTTTAAGAAGATTTTAGTGATTTTTTCTTAAAATAAGCTGAAAAATAGAAGTTACTTATTATATATATATATATATATATATATATATATTTGGTGTTTATATATATAGTAAAAAGAAAAAAAAAAGAAGATAAACACATAAAAAAGTATTAAAAAAATATTTATTTTATTAGAAAAATGCTTTTAGAAGAAAAAGTGTAAATAAACGAAATATGTTTCCTTCAATGATATAAAAGTATGTTGTAGTTTTTTTTTGTTAAACATAAAATTTAGTCATTTGTTGTTGATTCTCAACTAAGTTCTTAAGTATAAAAAAATAAACTATTTCCTATTATGTAATCGTTATTAATTTGATTCTTATGTTTATTATATGTTAATTTCTTTAAACATTTTTAATTTGATTCGTATAAATATAATTCATTTTTAATTTGATTATTACATGTGTTAAACATTATTATTTTGATCTTTATATGTAAACACCAAATTAAAAATACATTATGTGTAAAAAGATTAAATTAAAAATATCTTGACTATATAAAGATCAAATTAAAAATATGTAAAGTGTGACACTCTCTACCCCAACATATGTATATAATAATTATTAAAACATATTTTCTGGGTAATAAAATCTTTTGAATCAAAAGAATAATTCCACTAACATAAGAGTAGAGAATTCATATTCATAAACTTAAATCATGGTCAAATGTAGAATTTATAAAAAACGAAACATGAGTTTTTCCAAAACAAAATAACAATAATGAAATCCTAAACTAAGCCTAGCTATGCCCCAATGTCACATATCCTATTAGAGCATGACCAACTGAAACCTAAGCCTCATCACCAACATCCTAATGCTGATGATCACCTGCAACACAATTTAAACACATACAAAGAACAACAAGGGAGTCACTCAGGTTCAGGTGCAGAAATAAATGTTAGGTAACACACACACACACAACAAACATAATACAAGTCACAAGCACAAATCACATATGAACAATACACATACACAATCAGTATCACATGCACACTCATTTATCATGCAATGATGTCAGGGACTCGACTCATAAATGCATGCATGTGGCACCAATCACATATCACATATCACTGGTGTGCTGCCTAAACAACACACCTAGGGTAGTCTAGGAGTACATGTAGGGAGCTACCCATACACTCTCAACTAGAAGGATGTACTGCTAAGGTCTGGTCAAGATAGCAAAGCTACGCAAGTTACGTCTCATGCTTACAAACGGGCGGAATCCAGACATCCAAACTGCACTATCC